TTTTTTTCTTCTCTCTCTCTCTCTCTCTCTCTCTCGACTTTGTTCCAGTGATATTAGGAAATATTAACTTTTTTTCTCTCTCTCTTTCGAGGAATGATCTAAATCGATTACGCGAATAATTTAATTCGATTCGATATCAACAGCGTCTTGGTCGCTGTTGATCCTCCCTTTCTCCCTGGGATGAATCATCTTATGTCGAATGATTAATCGAATATTTTTATCTTTGTTTTTATTCCAGTGATATTATAACCTCTTTCGATTCTCTCTCTCTCTCTCTCTCTCTCTTTCGTAGAACGAAGTTGGTTGTATCTAAATCGAATTACGCGATATATAATAATTTAATTCTCGAATCGAGAAAATTGACTTGGTCGCCGTGTTTCTCTTTCTATTTGCCACCGATCCAGAACGACCATCTTTTAAATCTCGATGCATTGGAATCCAGAGGATTCTAACGTATCGATGCGACGTAAACAATTTTTAATACGTGACAGGTTAATTACAATTTGTAACGAGAGTTCAATTCGATAAGCGTGATTTCGTATTCAAGTTAGTCAATTCGATCACGTACGAATAATCTGGACAAATTATAGATATAAGTTTCGAAAATATTTCCTCCACTTTGTAAATAAAATAAAATAATTCCGAATGTCAAAGTCATATCTCCTCTACCACTCCAAACTTTCTTCTTCTTCTTCGTGAAACAGTAATATCTGTGATACGTAAAAGATAAGGGGAATTTTTAGAGGGTTCATCATCGAGAGGGGGACGAAGCTGTTCCACTTTTTCACCTCGCGTCGGTTGTCACAATGCGACCGGTGCATCCTACATCCTGCCTTTCACGGCCCGCGAAATTGATTGCAGAGGGCGGTCTTTTATGTCGCGTCGTTTGCCTCGCGAGGTGGCCCATTCCGTGCAATTAGGCAGACGAGAGAGGTAACATTACCACCGCGTCGAGCGCGTAGGCGTTTTCCGGCCGAGGGTGTCGTACACCCAAAGTGTCAAGCCCGATACTTTTCTCCGCTTTAATTGCCCGATACCAAACGCTCGTCCTCTTTTCGTCATCGAGGAGGGAGGATAATAACAGGAGGAGAAAAATCGTGGTATATTTCTATTTTCGTCTCGTGGAATTTTTAAAAAATTTCTTTTTTGCTAGAATAAAATTTCTTCTACTTTTCTCCGCTTTAATTGCTCGTTCTTTTTTTTTATCATTGTTTTGATAATAATACGAAGAAAAATCGTGGTATATTTCTATTTTCGTTTCGTGAAATTTTGAGGAATAGAATATTATCCGTACAAATCGCGATAGATTTCTATTTTCGTCTCGTGGAATTTTTAAAAAATTTTACTAGAATAAAATTTCTTCTACTTTTCTCCGCTTGAATTGCTCGTTCTCCTTTTATCATCGTGGAGGATAATAACACGAGGAGAAAAATCGTGATATATTTCGTTTGGAATTTTGAAAAAAATTTTCTTTTTTGGCAGAATAGAATTTCTTCCACTTTTCTCTCCAATGAGAAAAATCGTAAAATATATACTTTTTATTTCCGTTTCCTGTAATTTTGGAGGATAACAATACGAGAATTTTTTTTTTTAATAGATATTTCTTCTAAAAAAAATAATTTGATGATTTCATCGGTGAAGATTCGAAATTAAATAATTTCGACAATTTCTAAATTAATTTCAATCAACGGACGGGATTAAAATTTAAAAGTTATTAAACGATTCAAGTTTTAAGCGCGATCGAACAAGTCCTGGCGCGAGAGCGTTAAAAGGGTTCTGCCAACCACGCCGCAAACAACACGTTGTCGGCATGCGCGTCACCTCATTTTGTCAAACATCAATTACCAGGGCAAACAAGGCGGGATGGGATGCTCGACCGGCGAACGTTAAATACATGCACCCGCCCTCGGCCGCGCTGACACAATATCCGACATTTAATGGACCGATCCCGTGTGCCAAACCGATTCCTCCTCGATTAAATATCTAGAAAATCGACTCGATACTCGACTTGAATAATTCAAACAATTCCATTTCCTTCCTCAATTCCATTCAAAACTCCACGATTCTGAGAATCCAAGAGAAAGAAAGAAATTTTCCTAACCTCCTAAAATTCTTTCTCGTTTAATTCGTTTAATTAACGACACGATCGTTCGAAGACGATAAATTAAAATTTTACATGCATCGAAGAATTTTCATCTGCCACGAGATAATTTCGAGATCGAAAAATTTCTTTTTCTTCTCATCCCTCCCTCCTCTTCTCCGCTAACCGTAGAGAAAAGCCGGTAAATTTTCACGAAGAGACAGAAAGGGAGAGGGGAGGGCTACATTTTCACCGAGGGATTTCCCCTTTTGTCAGAGAGAACTCCGTGCAGAGTTATGGCCAGGTACAACCAACCTACGCATATATACACGTATACACACGTTCCTCCATCACCTACATATATACATATATATATATATATATATATCCGAAACGGTCCAGAGTTAAAATCTAAGTAGCCTACCTATATATCTAGCAGCGTGGTAGACGCGTCTAGAGAATTCTCGAGACGGTTGGACAATTTGAAAAGAGAGATCGAGGAGGAAGAAAGACACGTGGTGGATTCGAGAAAGACGAGGTTGGAAGGATAGATCCAAAAGGAGATGGGGGAAAAAGGGAGAGATAACGAAGGGATAAGGATTGGTGTGGAGGAGGAAAGATAGAGGGATGGAAACTAACAAGAGAAAATTGCACTGGTCAGAGAGAGAGAGAGAGAGAGAGGAGGAATGCTGGGTTGTCGAGGGGCGCATCCGGGATCTCGGAGGGTGGCGATTCGTGGGGCGGTCGGTCGTCATGGATACGTTCCCGGCTAACCCCTAACCGCTCCTCCTCCCTTGTCATCCACGTTTTCGCGACTACGCCGCCATCATCGACCCACCATCTTGCACGAGAGAGGACCACCAGAGATGTGCGTGCGTCCTCCCAAAGCACCCTGCCTTTCAGTGGATGGCAACAAGATTCGTTACAACTACTATTTCTATTAATCTTGGAATTCACTCTCGAAAAACTTACGCGAAAAATTACGATGCGAAAATTATTCGGGAACAAGCAACAGCGTCCACGAACGGAACGAGAGAGAAGAAACCCGTTTCTCCGATAAGAGGGAAAAAAAAAGAAAAGGGTAACGAATTATCATTCGCCCAAAACTATTCGTCCATTTCCTCGTCCACCACGCGCGAAAAGATGGAAAGCCTATCTGCGAAGTTTTGAAGCGGGCGGCCGATAAATTTCCGAGGAGAGAGAGCAGGATATTGGTGCGGCTGCGGAGGGGAGGGTGGGAGGGGGGGAGGGAAGGCAGTCGACGACCGTTTTGCTCAGTTGGCAGCGGTTGCAACCCTCGTGCAATGCACCCTCTCTCCCTCTCCTCCTTGCACCGTGGCTCTCTCTCCCTCCCTCCCTCAGTTTTCATCCCTTCTGGCGGACGGAGGCGTGGGCGTGGGTAGATAACGTGATTTACACTGGCCGGGTAATTAATGTCCTCGGCGACCGGCGCTTTAAAAAAACAATCGGAAATCGGCGACAACGAAGAGCAACAGTGAGGCCGCCACTCCGTTGACAAATTATCAACCTCCTCCTCCTCCTCCTCCTCCTCCCCCCCTCTCCGCCCAGGAGATTTTCCTCTTTTTGTTTATTTATTAGCAGCAGCCCCTTCCTTCTTTTTCTTTTCTTTTTTTTTTTATTGCCGCCGCTGCGTTTCCCAAAGGCAAAGGTGTTCGATCACGTGATTCGTGGAAAGAGATATTATGGAAAAACGCGTTTTCGAGAATTAACGCTATCAAGATTAACACGGCACCTTCCCTTTTAATAATTATTCGTGAGGAGAAGAAATTAGGAAATTAGATTCACTCGATCGCGAGAAACGTCGAAAGATCGAAGAGTTCGATTAGATGTCGTTAGATTTTGGAATCATGAGAAATTCATGAGAAAATCCAAACCCGACGTAAGTCGATTTAATTACACTGACGGGTGGCGCTGGTTCCCAGCGATCACGTGCATTGCCTCATTTTCTATCCTACTTTTTTTTCTTTTTCAGCGTTAGTCATACTTATGCATATCGACCTTATCTGATCTTGTTCGATTCATTGTTCTGCCTGAATTTTTATCATTACGTGTGAACAACTCGAACTGTTTCAAACGAATATTTAAGATTCTGGATAGATATAAGAAAATATTCTTTATCGTAAATCTTGCGACCCTGTTGATCAACTTCGTCGTTCACATCCAGGTATTACCAGATATAGCTTAGCTTAAGGATGTTTCCTATGTTAATCGTAGGTCACGCAAGTAACCGTGGAAAAGTACACGCAACTCGATTACGCGAAAGCTTATGGCAACGAAGGAAAAAAGTTAAGCTTCGATTTTCCTTCACATTTTACTTTCAAATTTTTGTTCCTCCTTTCGTCGTAATTTTAACGAGTATATTGATGCGAAACAGCGAATCGCGTGACAACACGAAATTATATATGTTTCTATTTTGAGAAAAGAAATCTGATCAGAGTGATGATAATTCATCAACTCTCGGATCTTGTATAAACGAAGAATCGCGATAAATCTATTGCAATTTGTTTTACGATATTTATTGCCAATTGTAAAAAAAAAACTTGGATTTATGAAGAACATACATAGAAAAAAGAATGTGATATGCGTAAGCGATTTCCATAATTTACGAGAAAATTCGTTTCTTAAAAAAGAAACCTGGATTTACGAAGAACATATAAGAACTATATAGAAAGAATATGATACGTATAAGTGATACCATTCCATTCTTTAATTTACGCAAAGAAGATATTCATTTTTTTCAACTATATTACAAGTTGAAAAATATATCATATTCCACCTATATAAAGCTTTCCCATACTCTTTCACATTCCAAGCACAAGCATAGGCGTACTAATTACGAAGCGAGCAAATGCACAATTTTATATCATGACTGACCGGTGATGGAGGCGGTCGGCGAAATGGCGGATGGATTGGCACGTGGCGGCGGCGAGAAAGCACCAGAGAGGTATCCACCGCGGTCGGCGAGCGCCTGTTTCGCCTTGTCGACGCTCTCCTTGAGCCTCTGGAACGTGCTACCGCAGGTGAGGCCGCGATACGGCCAGTTCTCCTGTTTGACGCCGGCCGCGGTTACTCCTGTTGCCGCGGCTCCGGCTCCGGAGGCTCCTTTTAATTCGAGCGCACCTGCGTACGAACAGCTAGCGCTGTCGTACATCACCAAAGAGCCCCTGAAAAGTCAACGACACTGCTTTTTAATCCGTTCCGTGTATATTCGATTCGTGAGTGTTACGGCGAAAAGTGTAACGTTGCGCCTCCTTTCGTTCTTTCTATCGAACTCGTCCATGCTTTCTTATATACGCGACCGTTTGAGGTTATGTACGGGTTAAGCGCTTAGGTTAAGCGCACGATTTGTGATCGTTCATTCGTTTATGTTCCTACGAGAGCGTTGAAAGTGGCGAATTGATAAAAAGAATAAAGTGATTTTGAAAAAGCGTGAAATAAAAATAACACGAATGAAAAATTAAAAGTAATTAATTCTCGTTGAAAAAGTAACTCGTTAACAATAAACTTCGACTAATTAATCAAATGACTTTGCGTTTAAAATGCTTGAATAACACATTATTATTTGTAGCTATTACGGTTGATCCACTCCTCGTATAACGTTCGGCAGTACAGTTATTCGCGGTTATTCGATGTCTTGAATAATAAATTATTCGAATAACTCGTTGAACTAATTTTATTTTTACCTTCCACTATTAAAATTTTGTCCATCTCTGAGATACGTCCCCTGTACAAACTCATCTAATTTGTCGGTGTATCGCAAAGGGAAAGAAAGAGAATTCGTAGACAACAAACAAGTGTTAACGCAGTACGAACTGCTCCACCAACTCTTTACAGTACTCGAGTATTATAGTAGGCAGCGTCGTTAAGGATCATTAAAAGGACGCTCGAAGCATCCGGTAAAGTCACGATCGAATTAAATCGAATAAATACCAAGTGTGCAAGAAAGCTTTTACTCCTCGAAAAGATCGTGGTGAAAAATTTTACTTTTTGCTACGTAAAAAATATACAATCACTTTTCTCTCTCCTCGATTTATTATTAATCGAATCGAACACGAGGAAACACGTTCTTCGGCTAATTGAACGATAATCGTTCCGTTCCCGATTGTGTGTGAATTATCACGAGTCATTATTGATAGTACACACAAGGAGAAAGGTGTCTGTTAATTGATTGTACAGATCGTTACCTAAATCCTATTATCCATCATCTATCCATCACGGATTATCTCGAATCGTGACACTGACGTTTCGAACGTAAACAATATCTCGATCAATTAATCAATCAACGTATCCTAATCCAATAAGAAGGATACAATTTTTTTGATGATATACGGTCTAAACAACAATCCCACAATATTGGACAATTTTAATTCCGTCGCAGTAATCAAATCAACGATTTTTGAGAATCTTAAAATAAAGCTCGATACGAATTTTCAAAACCGAGGAAAAAAAAAATATAGTTCTACACGTTCGAACAACATATGAATTTCGTAATCTCCGGAAAACTTTAGAATCCGGTGGCAGAAGAGATAACCGCGAACGAACAACTAACTGGAGGTAGATTACGTGCACGTAACGAGCGGGAACTCGTAATCGATCTAGTCGTAATTTAGAGAGGAGCTGACGGGTTATTGCGAGGCATCTATAGACCGATCTACATTTTATCGACGAGACTTTCAACTTATCATCTTACATCGGAATTCCGAAAGTGATAGCACGATGACATTTGCATCGTGTTATCGTCACGAACTCTACAATCTTTTCTCTCCTTTTATTCCTAATTAATCGAACGGAAAGTAAAAAAAGAAAAAAAAAAAAAGGAAAAAGAAACGAATAACATTTACGAGTTTAAAAGTTCTCCTCTCTCCCTTCTCTCGCCCAAAATTAAATTTGTCTTTCTCGATTCATCGAAATCTCCGCGAAATTTCTGCTTTTTCCCGAGAATCATATAAATTATTCGATTAACAGAGGAAAAAAAAAACCAGAGGAAAAAAAGGTTACCTGGTGTCGTTACGACGATGTCCACGATAAAACGCAAGCTGCACGCCGTACACGCTGACCATCGATCGTTTTCTCGATAAAACGGAAAAAAATATAAATATTTCTTCTTCCAACGAGCGAAGATTTCTTGGAGATCTAATCAGGTTTGGCACGAACCATACTTCTTTTTATAGATACGTCGAAATTGTCGAAAACGGTAAATTCGCTGAAAAGCAGCGAAAACACTTCGGAACTGAACGCACTGCGCGGATGTCCACTATGTATCGAGGTCAATTTAATCACGTTCACAAAACTGTCACATAATCACGGTGCACCTCCGGCGGTTCGCAAGTATACGGTTTCCGCGTCCCGTTCAGCTAGTCCTGAATAGTAGATAATTGATGCCACCACGATTCGTGTACGATCTTCCTGTATTCGATATTATCCTTCTATATATTAAATCGCGAAATTGTTTTTACGTCGATCCAACAAAATCCATTAATATCCCAACAATGATATGGTATCCTGGGCTAACAAAACGTCGAAACTTATGCCGATTGATTTACGAATCGATACTCTTTTCGAAATCCATCGAACGATGTAAATATTGTGCACACATACACACGTATATTCGACTCTCCTTGTATTCATCGACTTCTAACCATTATCTTCTCACAATCTTTCCATCTCTTGTACGGCGTTACACTTAATTTCTTCTTCCACTTCTACTTGTGTACGTACACTTTGCGTTCCAACGAAAGAAACTTGACACGAGACTCGCGACGACGCGCCATTTTTTTTCCCAACAACGCAAAATTTCACTGAGGCATCGATACAAACAATGGATCGATCAATCGAAGATATCGAGAAGACTCGGATTGGCGGGATAACGATAGGTACGGCGCGTGCGCGGTTTGGGCTGATCCGTTGTCGCACGGAATTCGTCGGATATCGGCTGGTGAAGAGGCTGGATCTGATATCAAGAAGAAGGTACTCCGGGCAGGTTGTCTCGCGCAACTGCGGCCGCCGCGGCCAGCAAATTGCCTGCTTCCGGGCCTCATTACATCACTCTGTTACTCTGTTAACGCTCGCCGGAAACCCCTCTGCCTACCTCGTCTAAACTCTCTCTCGCATGTACCTACACACACTATTTAAATGCACTGTGTCGCGGACGACGCGGCCGCGCGTATTTCCAATACGAAAGAGGAAGAAAACGATAAATGCGTTTACCTTGCTGTATTTTCTTGTCGATTCTGACCGTGGATTGTTAAGATTCCGTATTGAGATTTGATTCTGTGTTGAAAGAAGTTTCTCGTCTAGTGTAGTATTATATTCTTACGATCATGTTGATTCTCTGATGTTTTGAGTGAAATATTCTTGTAATAATAAAGAGGCAATTGCATGATAATTGCTTGTTTACGATAACTGAAGATTCATACGTTATGACTCATTATTGTTAAAATCTAAATTCATTTTAGAGAAGGAAAAAGAAGGATATTAAAATTCTTGGTGTTTATATAGAGTGAATTTTCTAGTGAAAACGATAATTTATTCGCATTTATTTGGATAAATTTGTTATTGGATTTCTTTCAAAAAAAGATCTTGAACTCTTTTGCAGGTAAAAATCTATAAATGGAATAAATATCGAATGATGATTTTTCTTTGTTCGTAGATCATTATAGGTTAAGGAAATGAAAAAAAAAAAAATGTACCATGACACAATTTTATGATGATTCTTCTTGAATTGTTAAATACAATGTTTTCATCAAAATTGAATTTGTTACAAAATTGTGGTAAAATTTTTTTTTCAATTAATAACACGTACCATTTTAAATTAATTCTTTTTAAAATTTTATCAATATTAAATATACCTTAGATACATTCGGTGGATCGTATCCCGTTATTTTTCCTTAAATGTGCAAAATACGAAACTCAAAGAGCAATGAAGTTTTTCAAACGCAAGGCATAAGAAATACCAGTAGATCGATAAAAACTGGAACGACTTCCATAATCAAGATCCCATGCTTAATACATGACAAAGTTCATCGAAGCAAAAAAAAGAAGACAGCGAGCAAAACATAGGTATTACCTGAACGAGGCGCTCTTTCTCTAAAAAGAGGAATCTCTTAACGACAAAAATAGAGGATAACCGATGAATACAGTCTCGCGAAAAAAGAAGAAAAACAAGAATATCGATTTAACAAGATCCAAGTACATTTTAAACTCTCTCTCTCTCTCTCTCTCTCTCTCTCTCAAACGAAAGAAAGAAAGAAAGAAAGCATTAAGAATATACATGTATGAAATATGTAAACGAATAAATAATAAGCGAGCCGAAAATAGACGGAATGGAATTTCAATTGCGAGATTAATGTAATTGAAAAGGAAGAGGAGGGGGGAGAGAAAGAAAAAAGCACGGTATGTAAAATTTACGAGGCGTTAAAAAAATGAACAACGACGACGTAGAATGCGAGGCAATAAAAGAGATGGCAGGAAAAATTGCGGGCGGTAATTTAGCGTTGAAGATACATGCAGGACCGGTTAATACGCGAAACATGCGTGGGGACAGGTGAGGCCGGTGTTCGTAAGGGTGCACACGGTGTATATCATACGACCGTTAAAAAAAAAAAAAAAAAAAAAGCCGTGAGAAAGAAACCGGAATAATAACCGTGTCGATTTTTATTCGGCGGTTATCGGAAATTCGGCCACGAGGCGATGAATGTTCGGATAGTTTCACTACTGTACGCCTCTAAATTATTGTGGTTATTTTTCAGAGATGGTGGGGAAACGGTGTTACATCCTAACTTGTTTTTATGGTTATAAAGATAGAGTGTTTTGTATAAATCTTATTAACTATTTTTACACTTATGTGTAATATAATAATTGATGTATCTATCTTGTAGTTATTTTTATTAAAAACTCATTAATTCAGAGATAGGAGGAGGAGATTTTATCCTTCTCTAAGAAGTTAGATTTATAATATGTTGTCTATCTTATGTTATTTAAATTTGTTTCTTTTTTTTTTTTCTTCTTCTTCTTCCTTTTTTTCTTATATAATATTATAACAAGAAATAGGAATTTATCTGTAGTTAATATAATTTAATAGCGAGTGAAAGAAAGTTGAATTTTAGATCCATTATAATAAAATCATCGACTTTTAAACTATTAAGATTTTTATTTTAATTATACTAGTTGAATAGAAATTCTTGTTTATCGTATTATTTACCATTCGTCTATAATCATAGTTTAATTATAAAACAAAAGGAATAAAACGTTTCATTAACTTTCTAAGCTATTAAAATTCTTCTTGGAAACATAATATTTAAACTTTTGTTTATGACACTTATTATTTACTAGAATATTACTGTTGGTCTTTAAAAACCACAAACAAGTTAAACCTTCAATCCCCAATATCTCTCTCAAGAACTCAAAAAAAAAAAAAAAAAACCTACACCTTTCTTGTCAAAACTTTATACCATTTATACCATCCATTTCCAAAACTCACCGTCAATGCGGGGTCCTGCGTATAATCTTATCCAGCACTATCAGATCCAGTTCGCCGTTCGCACCAGGTCCTCCCTTTAACTATCCAGCCCGAAATCCCTTCACCTTCTCACTTCCAACGCGACTTTAAACCAACGCGATAATCCAACCGATATACGTATATATACAACATATATATATATATATATATTTTTCAAACCTCCTTCGATCCAAACTTCGATCTTCGAACTTCAAACTTGAGAACAAAACGAAAAAAGAAATGTGAAGAAGCGCGTGAACACCAACGATAGGAAGAATAAAATCCAACGGTAGAAACAGTATCGCCAGGTCGGGCCAGGTGAAACCGGCGAGTACGATCGCCGGCTATACGAGCGGATTACAGCCCCGCCGAGTATGCAACGAGGCTGCGAGGAACGCGTGGACCACCGTGGCGAACTCGGCCGCGATGCGACGGACGCACATTTGGCAGCGTCGTTATCAGTCGCGGTCCGACGATTGGCTGTGTATCGGAGCCTGCGCCGGGACGCCGAGAGAGAGAGGGTGGAGATGGCGGTGGAGGAGGTAGGAGGGTTGGTTGCTAACCCCCTCGTGCCGGGCATGAAGCGGCTCCTTAGAGGCGGGATCATCCACCAGGGTGGATCTTTCCTCTCCCTTCCTGCCTGTCACTCCCTCTCCTCTCTCTCTCTCTCTCTCTCTCTCTGTGTGTCGTTCGTTCTTGTCTCGTACCCGTTTCCACTAGGACGTTTTCCTTCATCTTTGTCTTTCCACCGTGTGATTTCTATGTGTTATTATGTTGGTCGCGGCTTCGACCAGGGGCTCGATTTCACTTTTTCCATCGTTTTCCCTTCGTGTATCCCCCCCTTCCCTTCTTTTTGGTTTCGTTGGATTTAACGTACTCATTGGGGTGACCGATCTCTCGTCAGGGGGATGAGAATTTCTACGTCTTTGAAGCTGTTGCTGTTTTTCTTCGTTCCTTCTTTCTTTCTTTCTTTCTCTTCGACATTTTTGGAAGAGTTCTCGCTTTTATTCCTGCCTCTATTTTCTCGTCGCAAGAGTTCGTTGTTTGCGATTTTATGTACGGCAATTTCAAAATTTAACTATCGTTAATTATGCGTAAAGTTGCGAATCTCGAACCTAAAAAAACAAGTAAAGAACGATTGGCAATCATTCAAGATAGATCTTTACGATATTATACGATATTATAAGCATGATTGTATAAAAAGGTTAACAATGTTCCACAGGAAGATAATTAATTTTAATATTATGGTACGAGACCGTGTTATTGACCATGTGTGTTCTGCCTTGATAAGTTTAATATGCAATATACTTGAACGATGAAGGTTTTCTACTCCTCCTCCTCCTCTCTCTCTCTCTCTCTCTCTCTGTGTGCGTTCGTTCTTGTCTGACCCGTTTCCACTAGGACGTTTTCCTTCATCTTTGTCTTTCCACCGTGTGATTTCTATGTGTTATTATGTTGGTCGCGGCTTCGACCAGGGGCTCGATTTCACTTTTTCCATCGTTTTCCCTTCGTGTATCCCCCCCTTCCCTTCTTTTTGGTTTCGTTGGATTTAACGTACTCATTGGGGTGACCGATCTCTCGTCAGGGGGATGAGAATTTCTACGTCTTTGAAGCTGTTGCTGTTTTTCTTCGTTCCTTCTTTCTTTCTTTCTTTCTCTTCGACATTTTTGGAAGAGTTCTCGCTTTTATTCCTGCCTCTATTTTCTCGTCGCAAGAGTTCGTTGTTTGCGATTTTATGTACGGCAATTTCAAAATTTAACTATCGTTAATTATGCGTAAAGTTGCGAATCTCGAACCTAAAAAAACAAGTAAAGAACGATTGGCAATCATTCAAGATAGATCTTTACGATATTATACGATATTATAAGCATGATTGTATAAAAAGGTTAACAATGTTCCACAGGAAGATAATTAATTTTAATATTATGGTACGAGACCGTGTTATTGACCATGTGTGTTCTGCCTTGATAAGTTTAATATGCAATATACTTGAACGATGAAGGTTTTCAAACGCAAAACAGGAATGGTAAGAAATGACGGAAACCGGACTTTCATAGTCACGATCCGTAGTTAATAATCCGATGAATATGGGGGAAAAAGACCGAGAACATAGTCGGCGTTGAATAATGTTTTATAGTAGTAGTTTCTGAAAAAAAGAAAAATTGAATAATATTTCATTAATATTAATAATAATATTCATGTATAGATATATGTGTATACTTTTCAATGATAGGATCGATCGAATTACCAATTTCACCGTCTTTCCAATTAAATTTCAATTGGAATCGTTAATTTCCGCATTCCTGGAGAGACAGAAAGACTTCGGACGAAAATTGTTGCATACGACAACGTCAAGCTCGAAGTTTGGCGTGTATCGCAAGTTTGGTCACGGGACTTTGGCATAGATTCAAGATGATGGGAACGATTGAGCTTTCAATTGTGCCATAATGGGACTTTAAAATAATCCAATATTCCCAACAAAATGGTCTTTTGTTGGAAACCTCTGATTCACGTGACTTTACCCCTTTAATTCTTTCTTCTGCTTCCTCTGAAAATAAAGAATGTTTACTTCCTTTCCTGATTTACTAAACTTTTATTAGAAATGATATGGAAATGCATATTTTTCAAACCTACGTTATCGTATACCTACACGTAGACATTTCGACCAGTTAATAACATTCCCAGCACATCTAGATTTGATTAATATATCAATATTATCTTGTGATCTTTATGCAAGGTCATAACGCGTGTGTCCCAGCCCGCCCAACGGGTATCTGCTTGTACGAAAATTATCTGATCCACAGCGTGCAGTAACAACGGGGGCGCGACAGATCGGACACGTGACCAGGGTACGGTTTTCAAAGGGTGCTAGCCGGTACGTATATGTATCGTCGATAACAACGTATCGTTATCGTCATATTCGTTAACCGTTCTGATCGTGGTGAATTCGCGTGTCATTGATACTCGCCCTCCCGTTTTCGAGATCACGTTACCACTGTGCAGGATCGTATCCAGGCCTTCCATTGTTTCCAATTATTTATCGCGATCGGGGACAAATCTTTATCAGATTTTACGTACAACTTTTCATGATGTTTCAGAATCGGATTAATTGCACGTTTTCTGAAAAATAAAAAGTTATCAATATTATATTTTGGGATTAAACATTCTAAATGTATCCAGTTTAAATTTAATTGTATCGATTCGAAAATTAAGATCAGTTCGTTTTTAAGATTTTCCAATCTTCTTTATTACTCTCTTTCACTTTCCTCTTATCTCAGTCTCTTCTCTCTCGGACGAATTCAATAGTCGCAATTAAGAGGAAGGAGTGTGACAGCAAGCGTACCGATTGTATCATCTGCGTGGAAGCGATTGACGATCGTCGCGGCCGGAAGTAGCACGGATCCACCGTGGTTCAGACATGGAAACGCACTCTCTGATCGGGGTACAAAAGGTTCGATGTTTCTCGCACGATTGACACTGTTCCTTGCCTTCGACGATCGAAGGCTTCACGCATGAACGACGAGCCATGGGCAGACATGGCTCGTGATTTCCACCGGAAACGAACTGGCCGAGGGGGATGGATCGTCGGAACCGGGGGGAGAACTAGTTGACCCGAGACCGGTCCTTAACGTTGATCGCTTTAATCGATTATTCACAAAGCGATGGTTCAGATCTTCTTTTTTCCTTATTTCGGGGGGAAAAAGGAAAACGAGATTAGGAAGAATATGCATGAAACGTTTTTCTCTACTTGTGTATACACAAAATTGTCTATTTATAAAGCATTACTAGTTACAATTAATATCTCTACTCACCTTGCACAATTAAATTAATCATTGCTTCCTGATCAATTACTGCGTATCCTTGAAAAATCATTCAACCAAACAAATGGATATATTTTTTCCATTTTTCTTCTTTTCATAAATAAACTTGATCAAACCACAATTTTCCTCTTGCAAGCAGATCCGGAATCATAATCACTTGCGGCTTGAAAATGTTTTTCTCCTTCTCTCTCTTTGCTCTCTGCATCAAGATAATCTGTATTGTTGTCGGTAACCAAAATTTATAAAGCATTACTAGTAATAATTAATATCTCTACTCATAATTAAATTAATTATTGCATCCTGCTCAATTCCTTGAAAAATCATTCAACCAAACAAATATTCCAAAAATGGAAATATTTTTCCTCAAATATACTTGACCAAACCACAATTTTCCTTGCAATGGAATTTTCCAAGTATCCAAAATAGAGTCTTCCTTTTGCGAGCAGATCCGGAGAATAATCAGTGCGGCTTGAAAATGTTTTTCTCCTTCTCTCTCTGAATCAGGATGATCCGTATTGTTGTCGATAATCACGAACGGGCCGAATATAGTGGATAGAGGCCGAAAACGAGTCTATCGGCATTTAGCCGGGTTTCGTGAATGTAAACTAGGCGTTTCCTGCACGTATCGTACAAAGTGCTCGATTCGCTGGTCTTTTTTCACCGGGCCGATCGATAATGCCATTGCAAACACCCTGTATGTGCTCGGTTAATGTTAATGGCAGGGGCTGGCTCGGGTGAACGGTGTGGGTTGCCCCTTTGCCCGTGAGTTAGAGCTTCCTGAGGCTTTCCCCGCATCCACCGAACCACCCTCGCCCTGCTCGAGGCCCGTGCTTGGCTAATGGTAACGCCAGGAAATATCAAAAGTCGTCTCCGTTACCATACTTTTTAGTTTTCCCTCGTCTTTCCTCCCTTTTCTCTTCTATACAAGAGATATCGAGAGGTCCTCCTTGTACTTCCACCTTTTTCATTACTTGTAATACCTCTCCTTTTTCTTTCTCCTCTTCTCCCTTTTTTTTTATCGTTTGATAAATAGATATTCTTATCTAAGGGATCAGAATAAACAGGATTGTTGAAGAATCGAAGAACTTTGAAGGATTGAAAAGGATAGACATTTGTTTGTTACTGAAAGAAAAATGTTAAAAATATTGTTAGCGATTTATCTCTGTTTGAATTTATAAGAATATTTATATTCTATTTTATATTCCATTGATTCTTGTTTGTACAGAAGAAAATAAATAAATTATTAATATTATTGGTAATATTTTTATATTTCATTCATTTTGTAGTTTTATATTCAAAGAAATAGAAATATAAATTTATTTTTAATTAAGATGATTAATTTTTGACGGTTTCATAAGAAATATAACAGGAGTAACGATTGCTTGAATATTTTTATTCGAGATATGAAAGGAATTTTTATGAGAGGAATTAGTTACCGTAAAAAGTTTCCTGGTTTCCCTGTTCATTGTTCTTTTGGTTCGTTTTCATCGAGTTAACCGCGAGACCAGAAAGTAATATATTAAAACAACCTTGATCTACAACGATACCGAGCAGCGGTTAACGCGGTTATCATCGGTAACACGATCGTTGAAATGATAAAAAATGTATCTAACTCGGGAGAACAAATGTAATCACTGCTTGTCACGAACACAATGCATTCAACAGGTTAGTGCTGCATATTAAAAAGAGTTTATTCGCATGCTTATAAATCCACCTCGACATTCCGGAGAAAGATTTCTCTCAGCTTCGCAAAAAAATTCTCCATTCCCGTTAAAAAATCTGGAAAAAAGAGGAAATTGCAAAAAATGACCAAGTTTCGTCATTGTTGTTATATAGAGAAATAGAGATATTTACAAATTAAATTTTAAAAATTTTATTTCGTTTAAATCGTTTTAAGATCTATAGATACTATAAGATAGATAAGTTATGATATAGATTATAAGTTTCTAAGTTATATTTGAATAATAAATTTCATTTTAATTTAAAACTAAAAAATCATACCAACCAATCAAAATATTCGAGTATTAAGTTTCAATTTAATCTCGCTTCTATCTCTAGAACTTTTACCACACACAAATTATATATTGCTGAAATAAAAACTCTAATAAAAAAAAAAATCACGAGTCTAAACAATCGCAACTCTCCATTTTATTCTAATCGCGAGCAACTGTGATCTATAACTGAATATATAATCCCTTAATTGGAAACAATAGTTTGGATAGATCAGAGCGTTGAAAAGGCGTGTATAATCGCGGCACGCTTCGGCCGCGCGCAGATTTCACCCGAGGGAATTGTCGATATCGTGTGATTTAATTTGTTACAATTAGGGCAAAGGGTCCCTTAGGTGGGACAGTGCCCGTCCAAAAGAGAGAAAGAGAACAAGAGAGAGTATGACAGACAAAGGGAGTTCACCGCGCCCTGCTATTAATATCAGTTAACGACCTGATATGATCGCTCGTCTATACTCGCAGACAAGCTGCCATCGGTGGGTTCGAGTTTATGGGTTAGGACCATATGCTCGAATCATGGTTTCGATCACGATTCACACTCTAATCGATCCACTGAGTCACCGGTTAGAATCCATTCTGAGTTTTTTTAGTTAAATCAATCTGAAATTGATCAGGATAGAGAACCATCTGGAGAAGAATAAAGTGGTTTGATTTTTGATTGGTTAAGGCAATTTATTAATCGTTTTGATAGGATTTATCTGAATGTGTAATGAATATGTAGTAAAAGCAGAGTTTAGATCATTTTATTCCTATAGAATAGATCGAAGAATGATATTATTAATTAATGACATCAATATTTTTTAAGAATATAAACAAGAGAATGTATAGTTTCATCTTTTCACAAAATTGTTCCTCTTATGCATTGTTCTTTCTTCTTTTATCGCGATCTTTTTATTATGGATCTTTAAATGAATTTAAATATTTTCATTGTAATAATCTGATGGGAATAATCACACGTTAAACGTAAAACAACACAACAAACAAATTTTCAAATTACTTCACAAAGACCCATGCCAACTATTAAACCTAACCTATGATTAGATAAATTCTTAAAGTCGAATTTCGTATCTTCACGTATTACATAATGCTATATTTCATCTTCTATTTATGAAGAATTTTGTTTACACGTATAAAATTCAATTAATTGTCACTATTTCTTTTATATAAATCATTTATTCTCGTTCAAAAAAATTGCCACAAACGTAATATAACATTCTTTATCTAAGCTAACTCGAAGTTAACTCGAAGTCTATATCGAAGACAGAATCGAGAGTTCGCTGTCAAACATCATGGATATAGGAAAAGCGGCGTCGGGTGCACGTAGAGAGAACGACCGATAACAATAGACAGGGACCGTGGTCTATCTAGCAGGCATCCGGGCCAACGTCGAAACGAGGCTGGTGCCGCGCGCGGATTACCATAAGCATTCATATATGCAGCCTCGCATTATACTTGCATACCCGGCATAAAGGTGGCCGTGTCGACGCTCGTATTGGACAGCGGCCGCAGGTATATGTATTGCAACGGCTGGCCGGCCGGTCGGTCGGCTACTTACTTACGTGTACCGGACCGCCTTCACGAGTCGCTGGCACGCGAGCCTGATTGACTTGTAGATGAGGCGACACAGTCGATATACGCCAAGAGTCGAAACTCTCGTCATGGCTACCGATGCCCGTGCAATTCTGATTCCCCTTCTCCTTTGGATTGTGTGTATTGTTGGAACCCAGCGAAGGATATGTGTGTATACATATGTACATAAATACCAGTTATATTTTACAATCTCTTAACTACAAATTAAATTTTAATTGTTTAATTGTTCGTTTGTTTTTTTTTTAAATGTGATTGAAAACAGTGTATAAATTGTACCATACATCGATTGTTCGATTGACAATAGAAAAGTAATCATTGAGATTATATATTTACATTCATATAAAAATACATACGAATACATTAATTTGCTATTTCAAATTTCACTTCAATCAAAATATATTTTTAAGATTTGACAAAAATAATGTATAATTTTCAGTACGAAGAGGTTAGGTTAAATTTGGAAGCATCTATTACTGGAAAATTGATAACGAATATGAACATAAATAATTCAATAGTAAGAATAGAATATATTAAGTTAGATTTAATTAAATGTTTAAGTTTGTAATATATAAATGAAGTGCAGATAATTTGAAATTAAAATGATAAACTATATATCAAAAAATTTTATGTATGAATTTGTGTGATATATTTTTATACTAATATTTATACAAATTCATCTTATATTAATATTTATTATTTATCTAGTAAAATATGCGAACAAATTTGATAGGAGTAGTACCATCATCATTAAAAAATGAAATGATAACAAATCGATAAAAAATCGAAATTCTCGAAGCATGTCACGATTTTGGGAGCACCTATTTGATTTTTCAATTGAAGAAAAATTGAGATTTCAATTGAGTTAAGTATTTTCGTTTATTTTTCATGGGTTTAAAGTTGAAAAAAGTTATAAAAGTTATAGATATAAGTTATTTTTACTAATATTAATCAACGATTAAATTAATCTTATATAAAAATTGCAGGAAAAAATTTTATTGAAAAGTCGAAAATGCCTTTTTTTTTTTTGCTACCAATCTTCTTGAGATCATCGTTAGTCATTTTCTGCAAGGTGGCCACACACTCCCACGAGATTTTCCCGTCTCTCTCTTCAACTCTCCCCTACTAGACCTTCTTTTTCAACGTTCCCTCGCAGCCACCGACCGTTATCTAGTTAATTAATCTCCGCCGACGGCGGTAGTCGACTAGCAGGGCGGCAAAACTCCCACCATTTCTGCAGTCGTAACGAGCCACGACAACGAAAGTGTCGAGCACCATCCCCTTCATTCACCCCAGATTTGCAACTGTCCCCACTTTCGAACTGTAAATCACTGTAAAAAAAACTTTGATCAAATTTATCGAACAGACAATTGAAAATCAAGAAGTTAAGATACAATTTTAAAAATAAAAATATTAAATTTGGAGGGAAAACCAGGATGAGAATGAAATAATTACTTTGAATATTATTTTATCTTAGTTTCAAATTAAAAATTATTAATGCATAAACACTTCATATTATTTCCATATTACAAATATAATTTGACTTATCTACATCTATAATTTACAAGCAATCAAGTGAAAGATAGAAATTTCATCGACCAAATCTCATTATTTCAGAAAGCCCTCCAAGGATTAATCCTACATTTACGAACATCGTTCCTCAAAATTCCCTGGAATCCCGCTGTAAGTTAAACCATCTCGGTTCACCTCGACCGCAGAACACCAGTGGCGACATCATTTTCATCCCACAAGCTACCACTATTCAGAAGCAACCCAGGTAAAACCCATCACGAAATCACCGAAAAGACTTAACCCTCGATAACGTACCACCGACCAATTTACCGAATGGATTCATCGAATCTGTTTCAGTTACCCGGCGGAATAAATTCATCGATCGGTCCCCTGTTCGCAGCGCGGCCTAACACCGAGTCTACCGGCGGAGCGGACAGATGTCCTAGGTCGACGTTGCGACGCGTGCGGGGTGGCGTGGTGCTCGGTGGCGTGGTACGGTACGCACGGTGCGCCCCCTGATGCGGGGTGGGCAAGTATTGATTGGGTCGGCGCGTTGGTCGCGACGTCCGTGTCCAGAGTGCAAGAAGAGAGGGTGGCGGAATCGGCAGGCGCCATCACGCGGGGCCACCGCGACCGTCGTCTGAAGGGCCGTCCAGCCAGTGGCCGCGATCTCGATTCACCGAAAAGATGGTCATGATGGCTGGCATGGACGACCACGAGCGAAAAGTCGTCGCCGAGTTCTGCCACCTGCTCGAGAAGAGCAAGCAGCTGTTCAACGGGCTACGGGATCTGCCACAGTACGGGCACAAGCAGTGGCAGGGCTACTTCGGGCGCACCTTTGACATCTACACGAAGTTGTGGAAGTTTCAACAGCAGCACAGGTGAGTGAGATATAAAGAAAAAAGAAAAAGAGGAAAGGAAAAAGATAGAGATAAACGAAGAGAGAAAAAAAGAAAAAAGAAAATGAGAAGAAAATCGTATCATCGTGTCGAGTAATATACCGGAGGGTCACACGGTGAGTCATCGTTGGACAAGGGTGGCCGCTGGCGTGGCCGAAGCCATCGATCACACGCGCACCGTCCTCCACGCCACGAGGTCCTTTAAAGCGATCCGCGACTCCGTCAGGACGTAACAGCGAGTATAGACTGTGCTCGGTGTTTCTCTCGATCTCGTCCGGAAAGGGCCGAACAGGTCGCTTCGCGCGGACGAACAAGCGTGCACCTACGTATAGGTGGAAAACGTAATAGTGGACGTCACAGGGGAATGTATAACGGGATCGGTTGTGACACCGTTCACGAAGGACCACGATCCTTTTACCTACGCACTCGGCTCAACCATGTGACGTGAGCGTGAATGGAGAGAATCGTGCGCGCGAGTGAACACGGTCACGCGTGTGCGTATAGTATATGCCCACGTACCGTTACGCTTACGTACTCTGATCTTCACGCAGATATCTCTTGGGAGTATTTTTCAGAGGATTGTTAAATAGTTTGCGGATTGAAAACAAGGTCGTGTTACGTTTTTATCAATTATTTTTAACAATTAATTTTATATATAGCGTAGTATTAATAATTTAATATTTGTTTTATTTTTAACAGATTGATTCGTAGAAGGTTGATATCTTGATACATTGTTGACATATTATTTGTGTTTTATACATGCATTAATTTATGGAACTATTTATACAATTTTGTTATTATAGAATTGTTCTTTGGATAATTTTTTTTTTAAAGTTAAATTTTTTAGAAAGAAGAATGTTTCTTTTATTTTCTATTTATCATTATCTAAGTTTTCATTCAAGGTTTTTCTTTGAATTTTGAATTTCGAGCAAGATTTCTCGAGCAGTTAGAAAAAAATGTGGTTCATGGTTATTTGGCAAATTAAGCACTTTATGAATTGGAGAATCGATTTCAGAGATCAGATACGACTGTATAAGTTTGGTGTGACCTATTCCGAATCTATTTAATGCTATTTGTAGATTTAAAATATATTTTGCAGATTCGCGTATCGCATTGTTTTAAAATAATTTATTGATTCGAATATCCTTTTGAAGAAGTTAAAAATCGGAGAAATAAATAAGAATTCAAGATAATGTATAATCCATGGCATTTATTTTTTTTTTAATCTATTTTAAAATAACTGTCTTCATTCAATTTGATTTCTGTACACGTTTAAACTCGCGCAATATCCATTTCTTCACTTTCTTTGCTCTTTCTATTTATGTCAAGTGACTAGTGAACAATTATAGAATACCTTAGACTCCTTTGAAACACGGTCTCCTTTATCGTTTGTCGTGGATTATATTCAATAATCTCTATTAAAATTTTATCATCTTGATGGCATCTTTTGACCTTTCACTTGATTTATTCTTCAATGAAAAATCATCAGTCCCAAATTCTACGAGAATAATACGAAATATAGCATTATTTCTTTTTCTTTTAAATCATTTAATATATATATATATATATTATTTAATATTTCAAATTTTCCTTACTTTACACGAAGAAACGTAAGTTATTTAAAAATTACATAGCTCGAGCTCACCTGGCAAAATTTGCTTCGTCGGCCCACTCGAATCTTCTTCCATACACACACACACACTTTGCTCGCACGTCTTTATTTACTCTTTCGATTCTGTTGCACCGGATGCCCGGTAATCTTCGGCCCTTTGTCCCTTTCCCTTTTGATCGTAAAGTGTCATCAAGTTGGGCCGGCCGGACTGATGGTGCGACTCGACAAAGAGTCAATTGTCTATCCGGCTATTCACAACGCCTCGCGCATATATATATATATTATATATATACACGTACGGTGTCTAGTACGTGCAATACGATGTAACACGTGGATGCATAGTGTATACATAAGGTAGACACGCGATCGTGCCGCGTCAAATGTTAATAAATATCGGGGACGCTCTTTCAGGATACTCGACAAAACAATAGGGGAAAGTTTCTCGAAACGTGCGGCAGCCAGTTTCAAAAGTATCGCTGATCTGTGTTCCGTTTCTGTTTTCCTCTTTCTTTCTTTTTTTTTTTTCCACTTCTTTTCATTTTCCCTTTTGTTCCTTTCGTTTCCATCGACGTATTCGTTCGAGTTTGCGTCGAAAGAAAGTATATATATATATATATAGTTATCGCAGGACGAAAACGCTGTAAAACGTAATAGCGTGATTAATACGACTTTGTTGTGAGCGTTCGCCCAGCAGAGCAATAACCATAAAAGGCGCGCGTGACACCACACGCGCGCTTGCACATATTGTTGTTCCAGGACGATACTCGACACGAAGTACGGCCTGAAGAGGTGGCAGATCGGCGAGATCGCGAGCAAGATCGGTCAACTCTACTACCACTATTACCTTCGCACCAGCGAGACCAGCTACCTTCACGAGGCCTACTCATTCTACGCGGCGATCCGCGGCCGCGCGTACTACAGCCGCGCCGCCAAGGAGGACAGAAGCGACCTGATGGTGAAGAAGCTGAGGTACTACGCCCGTTTCATCGTCGTCTGCCTGCTGTTGAACCGGATGAAGCTCGTCCGCGAACTGGTCCAAGAGCTCGACGCCCAGATCGCCGATTACACCAGCACCTACGAACCCGAGGATCAACTCGAGTGGAACCTGGTTCTCGACGAGATCAAGGCGTTCGTGAAGGCCGAGTCGACCGTAGGAGTGGTGCACTCGGACACGAACCCGGTTATACTTACCCACAGGCTGGGTCCACAGACCTCGCCCCCGATCGAACGTACGCCACCCATGTGCCTATCCCTGCAGGAGATCCTGATCGTTGGCAATTGCGCCGACCAGGTGAAGTTTAGTGAGTTGTCGATGGACATGTTCAGGATGCTTCAAACCCTGGAGAGAGAGCCGAGGGACGATCCTAACCACCTTCACGACGCGTCGCCGGCCGGCAGGATGCCGTTCAGGCCCGGGGCGTATCCGGGCGCGGAGAACGGGGCCCCGAGGCGGGACAATCCGCACAAGTACCTGTTGTACAAGCCGACCTACAGCCAGGTACAGGTATTCCTCGCGAGCGGCTTCAAGGAGCTGCCCGCGAACGGGGCGCTGTTGCTCTACTTGTCGGCGGACGGCTGCTTCTCCACCGTCAAGCATCCGGAAGAAAGTGAGTGTTCCCTTTGATACGGCGACCGATCACGCTTCCGCGAATATTTTAGAGCCTTGGCTGAGCCGTTCTTCCCGTTTTTTGCTGTGAGCCACTTCGATGTCTTTCGAGGAATAGACGTAGGATAGGATATGTATAGGCTGTAGAGAGAATTCGAGGCTTTCATCGGGTTGATTGTTGCTTGTTGCTTCTTGCTAACCTCAAAAATGAGGTTAATTTAATGCTGTCGAATGTTTAATTACGTAGGATTCGTATCCGTAGGATTCTTTATGATTTCGTCGATATAAAAATTAGGGAATGTTTCATTGTGTTATTTTTTTGGTTTTGTAGAGTATTTTGTCAAAATATACGTACGCGTAATGTTTGCAAAAATCCTCGCTTCACGACCTAAAAATCGCCACAACGAAACACTCGGCGTAAACTAACAACCAGTTGATCGATCAAAGCATGGAATCGCGTCCGCTTCTCGACAACGAAAATAGTTTTAAAAAGGCGATTGGTCTCCACACGATCTCGTTGATCGGCCGAAAATTACTTATCACGATAGAGGGCAGTCGTTGATGCACGACGAAAGCAAATCACACGCTCGACCAAGCTGAAGGCAGACGCGTGTCGACATTTTCGGTCAGTTTCCTCGGCCGGTAATCTAGTTAGAATAAGCTTTCTATCGGTATTATCAGTCTACTCTTCTGACGATCCTTCGATGGTAGAAATTTGTTGTTTGGTATCGTATTTTTCCAATTCTCGCGATGATTTTTTTACGTCGAACGTCTGCCGCATTCGTCTCGAAACGAGCGTTATAACGATAAGCTTAAATCCCGCAATAACTATCCCATCGACACGGAAACGACCGTGAAAGGATAAGCCGTGTCGCAACGGTGTTATACGGTGGCTAGAACACCGAGTGTGGATCCGCTTTTAAGCGCGTGTCGCTAATTGGATCACACCGAGTCGGACCATCGCTTTTCTTCTATTCGTTCAAGGGCTTCCGGTGAGCATACGAGCCGCTCTCTTGGTTGATTTAGTCACTGAAAGGAACGCTCTTTTCGTTCGGCAGTACGAACAGTATTTGGATTATGTAAAGTCGAGCGCGGAAGACCGGAAAGTGTTTGATCGTAACTGATGATGGCGATGAGTTGCAAAGACATCGAGTGACGGTCTTTTCCAACTTTTTTTTTTTTATCTTTTTTCTTCGAAATTATTGTAGATGGAAAAGATTGGATATTTATATTTCGACAAATAATATAAAAGTATAATGATACGAAAGGAAAGAAATAAATACAATTTATATTACACACGGAGATTAGAATACGTATTGCTTTTCGCTAGTCAAAGCTAATAATTGGCTAGAATAGAAAGCTTATAGAATTAGAAGCTTAGACGAGTATTTTAAGTATTCAAAAATATTTTATAAAACTACTAACAACTCTACGAATTTAACAAACTGCCTCTTCCTAATTCGCTCAGAATAATTGAATTATATCTAAAAATAACTTCCCTTCGTTAACACCTGGAAATATTGTTCATTGTTCCGCGAGAAAAAATTCCGCACAGGATCTTTTTCTTCTTCAAAATCAACATCTTTAATTGGATTCGCGAAAAGATCAGTAGAAGGTACCACACAACTCGAGTGTAGCAGAAAGAACACACGCCACCTTCTCTCTCTCTCTCTC